TCTCTCTCTCTCTCTCTCTCTCTCTCTCTCTCTCTCTCTCTCTCTCTCTCTCTCTCTCTCTCTCTCTCTCTCTCTCTCTCTCTCCCCTTTGATCTGTCGCCCCCACCTCGATTCCTTCTCCCTTGCTTACGCACCAATGTTCTCTCTCTCTCTCTCTCTCTCTCTCTCTCTCTCTCTCTCTCTTTCTCTCTCTCTCTCTCTCCCTCTTTCAAATCCAATTTTTCTATTCTTCTGCCTGATACCTGCTGGTGCGATCACGGAGGCTTTTGCTAATTGGCGTTCCTTCTTCATTGCTCGACAGACTGCGAACATGAGCGGAGCATCGGCCTCTTCGACAGTGCGCTCCACGGTAATATGGGCGGGTTCYAAGTTTGTCATGCCCACCACCCTCCCCCTTCCCCTCCCCCTCCTCGTGATGTCCCTTGTTTTGATATGTTCGCAGGAAGCTAGGCCCATTCGGAGTRCTAACTAAGGTTTTTTTTTCCCCTGATGGGCCAACCTTTGTGGAAGTTGGCGAAAAGGCCTTTGGGAGTCTCCACTACCCCCTTCTTTTGCGCCGGCGTATGAAGAGCTGCTCGGCCGAATTGGGATTTTTTCTCTATTCTCTCTTCTCTTCTTCTTTACCCACGTCTATGGATGATTGATGCTACCTGACGAAGATTACCCCTTGAAAACGCTCCTTGTTTCTATGTTGTGATCTTCGTGTAGGAACTTGTGGCTGCTTCTGAGGCATCTTGAGGCGTTCGTGATAAATGGAAGGGGCTATCTTCGTTCTTGGCATCATCATCATCTGCTCAGTACTTCTTAGATATCTAGCTTTCATTTCCCAATTAGAGGATGCTCGCCTGAGGGCTTGTTGTTGTCAATTTTTGTTGCATAACAACTTCTCTGTCACTGTTGGAAGTCGGGGGAGGTGTGTGGCGTAGGAATGGCCGGGCCGGTATTTCGAGGGTGGGCTCGAGTGGGGAAGGTGGTTGTGCTGGCCTTCGTTGTCTTCATGCCATCCTCGTGGGTTGTAATGTTTTTGGTGAGGTCGGATAATCGCGCTGAGGATGATGGGGTGTGTCGGCTGCATGTTCCTCATAGTCGGAGGAAGAATGGTGATATAACCCTGGTCATTGCTTACCTGACGTTTTTAAAAACCGTCATGATGCTTCTTCTAATCGATAATGTGCATATGACTCGAGTTCCCTGCTGCTACTGTAACGGCTATGGGTGAGGAATTAGATGTCGTGGACTCGTTTAGCAAATAAATATTAAGGCAGGACTCGATGACAATCACTTCTGAAAGGCAATGGAGGAGTTTGGTGTATGGATGACAGGGCTGATGCTTCGAACGAAAGCTTGAGGTAAAAGGATCGTTGTGCTGACTTTCGTCGCCTTCATGGCATCCTCATTGATTGTTACTTTTTCGATAATGACGGAGGATAATGAGAGGTGTTGATTGCATATCCTGCGTGATGGCAGGGAAGGTGGTGTCGTAACTCTGGTCTTACCATGTCTGGCCTTCTTGATAGTTATCTTGATGCTCCTTGTAATTGGTGACGGGCATGTGACTCGGATTCCCTACTGCTAGTATAGTGACTATGGCAAGAGGTTGGGCACCGTGAATCTGTTTCGTATATGAATGTT